AATGCAACATTTGAAGCCTCCAACTTTTATCAGATGTATATTTTCAGCTTAAGTATCAGGTTTAAGTACCTTGTTTTCAGCTAAAGTATCAACTTAAGTATCAGATGTGTGTTTTGTTTCAAAAGTTGATAGTATCGCTAACATTAACTAGCCTAAGTGACTAGGGTTGGAAGTGATTGTTATTCCACATGGATTACGCTTTCTAAAGCTGATAAATGTCCGAGTTAATTTGGTGCGAATGTATAAAAAGTTGTACAATATGCCGCTTATTGCAGCAGTGTCGAATAGACAAAAAACTAAAGATACGAAAGATAAAAATACCAAAGATAAAAATGTACCAAATGTACCAATTGTACCAAAGATAAAAATGCAGCAATGTTTTATTTTATAATTATTTTTTATATTTTTATATTATTTATAGTTATTATTTATTATATTTATTATTTTTATATTTATTATTTATTATATTTATTATTTATTATGTTTATTATTTATTATATTTATTAATTATTATATTTATTATTTATTATATTTATTATATTTATTATTTATTATATTTATTATTTATTATATTTATTATTTAATATATTTAGTATTTATAATATTTTCTATTTATTATATTTATTATAATTATTTTATTATAATTTTATATTATTTATATTTATTATATTTATTAAAAGTGCCTTTTACTTGTTATCTGCTGTAAATGTGTTATTCAAATTGTTAAAAGTAGAAAAAAAAAAGTTTATCCACCAAAGCTGATCTACAGCTTAATTGAAAAATAAGAATAGCTTTTAATACTTAATAATTTAAAAAACCTCAACTAGATGATAAGTTTTTAAATCAAAGATTAGCATGTAATTTGTTCTTTTGTTGTGTTTCCATGAGGTTAAAACTGTAAAATCCAAGTGTCATCACTTGGATTATATTAAACTAACTCAAGTCAGTTTTTTTATATTTTTATACTTATTTCATTCTATTATATAAATGAAAAGTGTTTCTTAAAAACAAATCAATCAAATCAATCAAAAATTAATATGTTAAAACCTTTAAACTGACTCAAGGTTCAAGCAAAATGGCACATTTTTAATTTGGCGAATAATAGTTCTGATTAGTGAAGTATTTCTAACGCCTTTTTCAAAATTAATTAATAGACAAACAAACCAAAGATTATTAGGCTCATTATCAAACTCAAGATGTTTTGAGGTTCTCTTCCCATGTATACGATCTATTTGTGCCACCCATGTATACGATCTATTTGTGCCACCTATTTTTGCTTGTTCCCAAGATTGTTGAAAAGAATTTTCCTCTCTAAAACAATTTTGTTTTAGTTTTGGAATAAATTTAACTAAAAAATTGGATGAGTTACTTATAAATTTTCATAAACATTGTATTTTTGGTAGTTGAACGAATTTTTTTAATCTTGTATCCAAAATATTTTTGATTGATTCTATTTTTTTGGGATTCAAAAACTCCATCATGTATTATACGAGGTTTTAAATTGTTACTCATATTACTTAAGGATTATTTAATTGGTGTTAAATTTGCTTGAATAACAATAAAAAGAATTTTATATATTTCCTCCGAAGACACGTTTATTCTTTTGATTCCGTCTATTTTTGTTTTAAAATAACTTTTTGTCATATTCGACACCTAAGATTTTGCGATAAAACTTTTTGTCACACTCGACACATAAGATTAACACTTAAGATTATGCGATAAAAATTGAGTTAAATAAAGAACACTTTTGATTTTACTCTTCTACATTGCAAACTGTTTTCTCATCCTTCCTCTATGCTCTTTCATTTAAACTTATTAAGTTATTACAAAACGCAGTTTTTTTTTTTGTAATTTAATTTCTTTTCTGTTTTCTTGCTTTACCGGAACGTGCATTTGTTTATCTTTTTTAAGAGCTTCTTTTCTTTCATAGTATTTATTTTTCATCGTGGTTACTTTAGTTTTTTAATATTTAATTGCTTTCTTTATTCATCTCTTTTACTACTTAGCCATACTAATAATTGGTTCTGAGACCAGATTGTCAAAGGATAGTTTGAGCATTTGCATTTGCATTTGGTTTTTTCCAAACCATCATATCAAAATTTGAAAAGTCACTTTCTGATGCTTTGTTAGGGATAGGAAATTAGATGCAGCTTTAGTAATCTTGTTAGATGGATTCTAATATTTAACACCGGGTAGCAGCACACTGAAGTTCCAAAATAACAAGGATTGCATGGAAAATAGTTTCAAGCGCTTGCACAATTACAGTATCAAACTCATCATTTTGAGTGCATTCAAACAGTTTGCTGTAAACTACATCTTAATGAAAAGCATTGGTTTCCTCAAAAAATTTTCCATTAACAAACAATACAGAAGATGCATCTTTACAAAAAGATTAAAGTTTTTAAGCCTGGTATTTAAGAATAAAATGTCTATTAAGTGATTTGAAAAAAGGAGTTAGTAGTTTGTCAATTATACTTCAGTAAAAAATGCAACATTTGTGATGTCTTTCTTAATTGCTTTTTCAAATGTTATTGGTAAAGTTCTGCAAGACAGTTGCTGCATCTTTTGCAGAACCACTTCTGACGAACCGAAAGATAAAGTCTTCCCACTTTTTTTTATAATTTGAAATAGTTGATGTTTATGGTATTTTTGAGTACACTGACCATGCAAACAATTGCATTTATTAGAGCAGGAAAACAATTTATGTGAGCAATATATAGGTAAACAATTGGCTATATTATTTTATTTGTCAAATTATTTTTAAGCATTGCTTCAGCAACTTGAAATTGACCTATAATTAAAGCTTCTTATGTTAATCAACATTTTACACCAGCTGAGGGCAGCCTAGATACATTGCATTAACCTACATTTTAAAGCAGCTGAGGGCAGTCTAAATATGTTCTTTTTGGCTAGTTTAGTTAATACTATTTTATGACGTCATTAGCACTAATCATACTCGATAAACGTATTGAAAGAATTTTCATGGTTTTCTCGTCATCACTGTATACGCCATCTTCAAAGTTACTACTTCCTTATCATCCAGCAAAGAAAATAAATTTTGAATTCATTGGTTATCTTTTTTTTAAATGTCTTACTATAAAGAAGATTTCTTTCTCTAAACTTATAACATATTGTTGTCTTTAACATAATTGGTATTATTTTGCAAAAAAAAAATTTAATTACAATTTTCTTTTGGAAGTATTTTCTATTTATTCAGAAATGTTTATACCTGATTTTTCAAAGTTTAATTTAAAATCTGTTATTTTTAGTTGTGATACTTTACATTTTATTGTGTTTTTTAATAAACAAATTTTTTAACAAACAAATTTTATTGTGTTTTTTAACAAACAAATTTTATTCGTTTTTATTTCCAAACTGAGTATCACAATAACTTTTTTTTAATTTAAATTTCTAACATTAAACTTTTTTTCTGGACATTAATAACTCTAATTTTGTTTTTAATAATGTTAAAAATTTCTTCTTTTTCACGACAACACATTTTGTTAAGTTTAATTCAGCTTCAGTTTAGAGAGTTATTTGAAATAAGCATTTGTACATTGTTTGACATATCTATGAAGTCTTTTAGATTTATAAAATTAACCATTTTAAAATCCATCACTAATTCAATTTTTTTTTTTAATTTTTATTTCTATTTTAAGCATTTTTTTTTTCGCTGATTAAGAAAATTGTTTCTTTAAGAACTTCAGACGCGTTTACTTTATTATTAGGAAAATTTGTCTCATGCGTAAAAAGATTTCATTGAAAAACAATGATAATTTTATAATTTTAAGCTGTTTCTTCAACTTTCTGATGATGTCAACTAATTTATTTATCTTTTTGGTCAAAACTTATTGCATCAGAAAAGTTCAACATTAAAATCTACACAATACCTACAATATATTGCATCATAGGAGGTATCTTTTAATCTTAAATACCAATTATATCCAAAAACAAAGAAAGTCTAAAAATCTCCACTTAAAAAACAAAAACCCAACCTATTGAATCACAATAAAAAGTTTATTGTGTTTCAATAAGTTGGGTTTTAACATAAATCGTATGCCCATAATAAATAAATAGTTGCAGAATCTATTTTTATGTACAGACGAATGAATTGTCTAAATTTACTTACACATAAATAAAACTTAAACATTTAAAATCAAATAACTTTATCAAGTCAAAAATAAAGTATCATCTCCACATAAATTAATGTTGTACATTCTTTTCTAAATAAAAAAAATACAACTACATATATGTGTTTACTAACGATTTATATGGATGGGATTTAATTGCTTGACGCTTACATAATTTTTTGCGTTTTTTTAATAAAGTTTTGCTAAAAACAAACAATGTTTTTTTTTTCTGCAATAAAAAGTAATGTGACAAGGGATTGTATTCAAACTAACAATTTATTTGTTATTTTTTATGATTTGAATCAAGATGTTTTAATAAATTTTTATTAAAGCTCCTTGGTTTGAATATATTTAAAAAACGTTTACTATGTTACTATGCTATGTTACTTCGGTTTAAAAGGCATCTTAAAATCACCTTTTTTTAGATTTGAATTCTAAACTTTAAAAAAGAAAGTTTATTTCAACATCAAAAAAACATTTAAAAAGCATACTTTTAAAACGTTTTTTAACATTTTTTCAACGTTTTTTACTAGAAATATAACACGTATTTTAAATACGCATTAATGACGTCTTTTTGATACATAAAAAATTTGCATTTTATACTATTAAAAGACAACTTTAATATGTGTATTTAAAACGTTTATAAAACGTAGTTATGAATGCCGGGTTACTACATACAATCATTCTAAATTATATTATTTAGTTTATCGAATTGTTTTAAATGACTCGAAGAAAGTCGTTGCGTCAAGAAAAAATTTGAACTATTTGTCATAAATGAAATTATATAGGTGACTACAATTAAAGATTATATGCCGCATACGTTCGTTAAAAGACCATTTAAAATAACCCTATTAAAATAACAATTTTATATAAAACAAGTTTTTTTTTGCTTAAACAGAAATTTGTTTTAAAGCATTTGTAAATAATAAAGTGAATTGAGAGAGTATAATTAAGATTGGATGGTTTTTTATTATTATTAACATTATCTGTAATGGCTCAAAAGTAGCTGTTGACCTAATAAAACATTTAATCGCATTTACAGTTACAATTATATGTTATAAGTTATACTTATATGACTGAATGACTGAAAAGTAACTTCACTTTAAAGTAATCCAGGTAAGAAATTTAAACAAATAAAGTTTTTTTGACTGATCACGTTAAATTTTTCTAAAGAAATCTTTTTAAGCAAAAAAAAAAAAAGAATTAAATAATTAAAAATAAAAAATTTCCGTGTATTTATACAAATTTTTTTTATATTTATTTACATATTTATGAAAAGACTTTTTTTCTTTTTTATAGCATAATTATTCACTTAATTGAAAAGTTGTTGGGAAGCATTGTTGAGTAAATATAAAGAAAAAGCTGTGCAAATATAACGTGAATGTATTACAAAGTAACTTAGCAATTTGCATTAAAAACGATTTACGTATTACATTTGTTCTTCTTCGTTTGTGTTAAAACAAACTATTAAATATTAAAATAAATTTTATTAGACAGACTTTTGACAAAGTAGTCTTTGTAGAGATGGCAAGTAAAAATAACCAAAAGTCACTACTTATGTTTTCATTCTTCATCAGAATGTTTTTTTGCGGAGTAGAATATTCAGTCATTTTGCCTTCCGTTATACCTTATATGAAAAGTTTGCATTCTAGCAATTTAAAAATAGGGATTGCTGTTGGTATTTACCCATTTGCATCAATGTTTGCTTTACCCGTGTTTGGTTTTCTTTATGATAAAACTAAAAGACTGAAAGAAATCATGCTTCTTCAAAACTTTTTTCAAATATCTGGCAATTTGCTATACGCCTTACATTACTCAGAGTATTTTCCTATTGCTGGGCGATTTGTAGCTGGCCTGGGAGATGGGTTTTCAGCATGCGCTATTGGTGAAATGACAGCAATTTACTCAAACTCTAAAAGAGTGGGCATGATGTCAATAATAGAATCTGGAAGAGTTTTTGGGTTGATTATTGGGCCTGCTTTAAATGTTTTTATTTCTAATCATTCGTTTGTCATAGATCATTGGATATTGGATTACAAAACATTGCCTGGTGTATCTATGGCTTTTGGTTGGTTTTTGATGAGCCTAATTACCATTTTTTGCGTTACCAATATATCTTTAAGGGAATCTGAAGCGGTCAAATATTTATCTCTTTCTGAAATAAAGCAAGAAGAAAACGAAAGTGCAGTTGATTACCCAAATCATAATTACGATTTTTTACAACAAGAAGACATATTCGAGCCACAAAACACTACCTATATTACTGATAACTCCTTGAAAAAAAAACATTCAATAAAGGAGTATTGGTTAAGTGCTAAAAATTCAATCTTATCATTAGAGTTTTTAGTAATTTTTTACACAGACTTTATTTTATGGTTTATTCAAACACAGTTTGAAATTTTGCTACCTTACATTACCGAAATTGAGTACGGTTGGACTCCTATACAAACTAGTGGAATATACATTGGTGGTGGAATTCTTTTGTTAGTGATTTTTTTCTTAATTTTTATTCTTTCTCCTAAGTATCCAGTTCATGACGTCAAATTGCTACTTTTTTCTATGTTTCTTACTCAAGTTTCGTTGTTGCTTGTAATATTTGAAAGTGTTCCAAAGTTAATGTATCAAAAAGTCATTATTTTCTCCATAATTTGTTTACTAGTTTTTACTTCGATACCTTTTAACTTAGTATGTTCAAGAAATTTGTTTACAAGAATGTTTCCAGAAAAAAATCAAGGAATTATTCAAGGCGTGTACTCCTCTGCCTCAAGATTTTCAATGATTGGAGGACCTATATTAATTAGTTTAGTTTTTGGACACAGAAAATTATATGGAGCAATTGCTTCAGTTTCATGTTTATTTGGTATAGTTTTGTTACTTTGTTCAACAAATCGAATTAAAAAAAAAGAGCAAGATATGATTGCTCGTATGAAGGAAAGAATATCAAATGATTAAGTTTTATCCATTTTATTATTATAATTATTTTAATACTATCAATAATATTTATATTATTATACTATTGTCAATGATAATGCCATTATTAATGTTAACATTATTAATATTAACATTGTTAATATTAACATTATTAATAATAACAATATTTATATAAAAATTAAACAATAATAAAAATATTATATTGTTTGGTGTTGTTTTGAACATTGCCAGTGATAACATTAGGATGTTTAATTTTTTTTATTATTATTATTTATTTTTTCACACAAAGACTTATAAATTAAAAATAAGTTTACTTTAAAATAGATAATATAAAGTTTAAATACAAAGTTCAACGTATGTAAATACGTTGCGACAATAACAGAGTTATAGTATAACAAAAACTGATAAAAGAAATGCGGGAAACTTCCAAAAGAGTTATATATATATATATATATATATATATATATATATATATATATATATATATATATATATATATATATATATATATATATATATATATATATATATATATATATATATATATATATATATATATATATATATATATATATATATATATATTACACTCGTTATAATTTTATATTTTAGTATTTTTTTGTATTTTCTTAAAGATGCTTGAGGATTTTTATAAGCGGATTGAAGCTAAAATAAAGTATGAATAATAAAAAGAACAACGTTTTGTTATTGAGCCCCTAAAATAATTGGTTCTTATCAAACGTATTTTTTAAAATCTTTTTATAAATGTTTTTATAAGTCCGCAAATCATAGAAAATTAGAATTATTCTGTTAAACATTAAAAAAATTATAAACATTAACATAATTCTGTTAAATTTTAAAAAAATTATGAATATTAACATGATGTTTATATTTAAATTTATACTTGTTATATAACTTTAAAATTCTTTTTTTATTAGATATATATTTTATTAGATATATATAGTATATATGTTAAGTCGTTGATATTTTATGGTGCAGTGTATTGATGAGCGTTTGATTTAATCTCAGATAATAGTTTTTGTTAAGATTTATTTTAAAGTTATTTTACAATTTGAGGAATACTATGCAAAAAGGTTCCTGGTCTTAAAAGAAAAGTCTAAATAAAACTAAATCATATTGATATCTTCATAAATGGCGAAGTTATAGAGTTTATAGTAAACATATTTTTGAGAAAAACGCAAAAGAATATTTGTTAATTTTAAAAATTAGAAAAATTTGTTGTCATCGTTGTAACTAAGTAGAAATATTTTTTTTTGTTAACAACCTCATTATGTTTACTAAGCTATGACAAAAAATTCTTCAATTAAATAATAATAATTATTATTATTTCTAATAAAGTAAATTGTTATTATTCTTTAAAAAAAAGTTTTAAACTTTATTTCGTTTGCTTTTATATTCGTTTCGAGGCTTTTGGAAAGATTTTCGAGACAGAAAAAGCATTGTTAACCTTATTTATATGTTATATATCTATTTTCTTCAATAAGTGTAACACTTATAAGCTTACTACGGTTCTTAGCTGACGTCTATCAAAGAAAAAATCATGTGTCATTTTTATACTATATTTAAAAATTTGTAATAATACTCATATACATTTGTGATACGTAAATATATGTTATGTAATACATAATATGTAATAGTGTCATACATAACAATGTAATGCATAATTATATAATACATATTATGTAGTTATGCAATACATACTATCTAATGCATAAGGTTTATAAATGTATTATAAATTTACGACATTAGATAATATGTATTACATAATATTTATAAATACACGACATTGGATAATATGTGTTACATGTTATGTTACACACGATACTTTACAAGAGATCGTCCATTAATTACGCTATGTTAAATTATTTTAAAAATTAAAGTACTTTGTAAAAATATATGACAATACTATAAGCAGAGGCGATTATACGAAAAAAATGAGATTCGGTAAATCCCTAAAAAGTACCGACTGGCGTCTTAAAATAAAATAAAAAGAAAAACCTCAAAAGTAAAATTTACCCAACTGAATTTTGTCAAATACCCAACTAGCCAACAAAATTTCAATAAAGACCCGACTCTAACTTGAAAATCACCTTCTTTGGAGGGGGAGGGGTGTTCCCCACACCCGTAAAATCGCCACTCCCAGTAATATTGCCTCTGATTACACGCGGTTATTTGATTTTTTGATTGAACTTAAAGCACTTTTTAATTTTTGATTTTATTAAAAACTCTGCGTTAATAAGGACGTTTTTGGACTTAGTTGGTTTCCCTTTCATTCCAACGAAATCTTCCACTTACTTTTTACAAAGCAAAGAGTTTTTGCATAGTTTCAAAAAATGTTTGAGAAAATTTGTATCCCATAAAAATAAGTTTTGTAATGACTTCAATTCTTACCTCAAGAAGCTGAAAATAATAAAATAAGCGGCCATGATGCAATAGTTAGAGCACTTGCATAAGAAGCAAGAGACTCCAGGTTCGAAGCAAGCTCTGAGCATGTTTCGTGCCATAGTTAAGGAAGGATTCGTGAACTTCTTATTTAAATGCTCTACCGCGGTGTTCTGTGACAAGACTGTTAGGTTTTCTTAGTGCATGTAAAACAAATATTTATAAAAAAAAAATTTTCTCAGCTTGCTTACATCAACCAGAATTTTATATAGAGATAAATATCAAGCAACAGATTAAGGTTAACTTATACTTAATTAATATTATCAGGCACTTGTTATGAGAAAACCCTTGATTGAAGGAGCTCGTCTAAGGTCATTTCACAATGAATCCATTTCAGGCATGAATCTTAATAACTTACCTTCTTTAATTCTTTGGTACGAAGGATATAACTTGCAATCTAAGCTGTTAGTTTGCTCGCGAATTCGTTAGTACAATCGAGTGGATATCGCGAACTCTTATTGCTGTCGAGTGGAAAGATTAGCATCGATTATTAGCGCAGTGATTTTTCCGTCGACAATGTTGTTGTTGTTGTTGTTGTTAGTTACTTTATAATCGGCTCTCGTATCTTTTTCAAAGTTTTACCTCGTTTCAGAGATAAAATCAAGATTTCTTAAATAATCAAAGCTTTTTTTCTTCATTCATTAGCTTAATTACTGTGGCAATAGTTAGTTCTTGCCTTGCCTTGACTACTTGACTCCAGGAGATACTGCACTTTATTTTTTTGAGCTTTAAGACGCAAGCACTGTAAGTTTTAGTTAGTCGGCCAGGTCTAATTTTTGTGATATTTTGTCAGAAGGTGCTCGGCACACTTCGAAATGTAGGATGAGTAAATTCAAAATTTTTACTTATCCAAGTAGAGTAGATGTCTATAAAGCGTTGCCAATGTCTTCCTGTTCTTGTCTATTTTTTCTCAACTATTTGATAAAAACTTTAACTTTAAATTTTAAACACACTAAAGACATCAGACACATAAAGACATCCGATAACTTAACTTATAATTACATCAAAATTAATATTTTTTTTCATAGGAACAAAGTTTTTTCTCATTTTTCTCATAGGAACAAAGTTGCAAAAAAAAAAACTTAAAAAAAAAAAAAAATTCTTGAAAAATTGCAAAAAAAAACTATTTCTTGAAAATATATTTTCAAGATGATGTTTTTTTTTTTTTTTTTTGCAATTTTTAACATATAGCTATACCGAATATTATTGCATGATTATATGGAAATTAAGCTTTATTCCTATGAGTAAAAAATAAAACATTTGCATTTCAACTAAACAATTTGTTCACTTTTGTCAACATTTTTTTTCAAAGAACTGATCGAATTAAACTGCGATTTTCGAACTTCATACTTGACAGTATATTTTTGTTATTCATTCTTTTCTTTTTCAGTAAATTCAGATTTATGTAAAATTATCAAACTAAGAGCTATTAAACTATAATTTCTAAAGATTTCTTAGAAATGTTTGTTTTCAAAAAGACTCTTCATGAGAGATTCCATCACTATTTCACTTTTAGCTTCCACTATGCTTTTTTCCTCTTCGACATCCTCTATGCTTTCTCTTACCACAACTGAATGCACAACTTATTATTACAATATAATATATGACTTATTTAAAATGTTATTAAATGTCTGAAGAGAAATTTAAGTCTAACTTCAAGGTGGAAATAGTATAAAAATATGTTTTAGTTTCACTTTAAATAACTTATTTAAAATGTTATTAAATGTCTGGAGAGAATTCTGACTGTTTTTCAGAATTGTCTCCAGACATATAATAATAATGTACTTATAAGTACATTATTATTTATACTTAGTGATGGAAGTCAAACACGAAAAACTGTAAAAAAAAATAAAATTGTTTTAGTTCCCATAGACAACAAATGGTTATTGAAAATATGGTTATTGAAAATTGGGTATGGTTATTGAAAATAATGGTTATTGAAAATTGCGTAAATCATAGAATTTAAATACTCAGACTCAGAGTTGAGAGAGGTGAGGTGTGGGTTTCAGTCACTAACTTAATTAAGGAACAAAGGGTTATTGCCAGGGTTGCAAAAATCCGTTTTTTTTTTAAAAAAAACCGGCCCAGTGGTTTTTTTTGGGTAAATTTGAGTTTTTTTGGTTTTTATTTTTTATTTCGTATTTGCTAATTTTTTTGTTGTTGTCGTTGCTTAATGGTATTAAAAATTAGTATAGTTTTCAACTTTAACTTTATTTAAATTAAATTTTGTATAGTGTTATTTAATAATTTATAAGAAGAATTTTTCAAATTATTTGGAAAATTTTAAACCTATCTGTTGATAGATTTTAAACCTATCTGTTGATTAATGAGAAATGGAAATAAGAAGGCTGGAGAATGGGAGGATGTAACTAAAGTTTCAATTGAACTTCAGGTTCGAACTTGAAATTCTAATGAACAAACTTGTTTCTCCACGCAGCGGCCTTGTTCATAAAGGTTCAGGTTTCGGAGTTGAGAGTTGAAAGAGGGTTGTAACCACAATAAGGTAGCCTCCTTGACTGAGTGGCTTTCTCAGCCTTGAGATGAATGTGGAAAGTGACAACCTCAATCTGTAAAATATTTGAACCAAAGTTGTGATAATGTATTTCTAAATAATGATTTAAATATTATTAAACCTGCGCTGATTGCTGTACCATCGTCTCAAGTTGGAACAAGTTCTTTGGCATCTGTTAGTTTTATAAGTTTGACAAAACCTTGTAAAAAGCAACAGCTGATGTCATTATACGCAATATTAATTCAATATCATTAAAAATCTAGCAATATTTAGAAAAGCCGTCTTCAAATTAAACTCAAAAAATTTGTCGTTGTTTTATATCAAGTAATTTTTTTAAAATTAAAATTATCATTGCAAAATACGTCTTTATAGACCTAAAGTAAAATACTGATTAAAAATAGGATTGAATAATAATAATAGAAAAAAAAAGTAAAAATCTAATATTAAAAAAT